AAACATGTCCCAACACACAGAGCACCTTTGCAAGGGCCACAAGACATATTGGTTCAGGGTATTTAGGAAAAATCTCTCTTCATCATTACTTGATGATTAAGCTAACTGAAAATATTCTTCAGTGGCCACACCTGACAATAAATTCAGACTCTATATAATTATTCCAGGAAAGTCTCTAAACAAGCAAACAGTAATAATAACAAAAATAACAACAACACAATAAAAAGCAACAATGAACAAATCCTGGGGTGGAACTGCCACATTATATTATTTTAAATGTTCAGTTTTCAACAAAAATCATAAAACATACAAAGAATCAGGAAATTATGGTCAATACACAGGAAAAAAAGCAATCACAAAAACTCGAAGGAAGACCAGACGTTGGACTTACAAAGACTTTAAGCCAACTATTATACATTTATTCAAAGAATTAAAAGAAATAAGGTCTAGATTATTAAAGTTAAGTATGAAAGAGATATATCACCAAATAGAGGGTTTCATGAATAAGAGAAGTTAAAAAAAACCAACTAGAAATTATAGATTTAAAAAGTACAGTAACTGAAATGAAATATTCACACGAGAGGCTCAGTGGCAGAATGGAACTAGCAGATGAAAGAATCAGTGAACTTGATGGCAGGTCAACTGAAATAATCTAATCTGAGGGGAAAAGAATAAAAAATGAAAAATGAATGGAGCCTCCAAAGCCAGTGGGACAGCATCAAGTGTACCAACATATAAATGCATACTGGGAGGCCCAGAAGGGAAGAGAGAGAAAAATGCATAAAAAGAATATTTTAAAAAATAATGGCCAAAACTATTTCAAATATGATTTTTAAAAAATGTTACTCTATACACCCAAGAAGGTCAAACAATTCCAAGTAAGATAAACTCAAGGAGATTTACACCTAGAAAAATCACACTTAACTGTTGAAAGACAAAGATAATTTTGAAAACAAGAGAATATAACTCATCATGTACAAGGAATCCTGAATAACATTTAAGATTAACAGCAGTTAGCTGTTAGAAACATCAGAAACCAGGGAGGCCAGAAAGAAGCGACATGCATAATTCAAAAGTGCTGAAGGAAAACAGAATTTATATCAAGAAAAGTCACACCCCCCCCAAAATGAGAATTTAGGATATTCCCAAACAAATACTGACTCAAAACCTACTAAAAGGAGTCCCATAAGCTGAAATGAAGTAATACTAGATCATAACTCAAATCCTCATGAAGAAATCAGATCACTAATAAAGTTAACTATATAATTATAATGAGTATATTTTATAGTATATTTTTGTTTCCATCTCTTATATGTGATTTAAAAGATAAATGCATAAAGCATAAATTTAAAAATTGTGTCTATGTGCTGATAACATATAAACTTATGACAATACAGTATACAAAGGAGGGAGGGAATGAAGCCAGGTTTTGTATACCATGAAATTAAATGAATATTAATATGAACTGGATTGCTTTAAAATATATATTGTTAAAGACAACAGCAACAGAGGATTAAAATGGTATATCGAAAAATATCTATTGAACACAAAAGAAGGTATTAATGGAAGAATAAAGGAACAAAGGCATAATATATACCAAAAACAAATTGAAAAATGGCAGTCATAAATTCTACCTTATTGGTATTTACATTATATGTAAATAGACCAAACACTCTAATCAAAAAGTCAAGATCAGTAGAATAAGTTCTTTTTTTTAAAAGATCTAATTAGATATTTTCTCCAAGAGACACGGTTTAGATTGAAAAACACAAACAAGTTGAAAACAAAAGCCTGGGAAAAAATATGCCACTCACTCAGTATCCAAAAGAGAACTGGAGTGGCTATAATAAAATCAGACTAAGTAGGCTTTAAACCGTGAGATACCACTTCATACTCACCTGGATGGCTGTAGTTAAAGACAGAAAATGAGGTTTGGTATTGGAACACTTATATACTGCTTGTGGGAGGTAAAATGGTGCAGATGCTTTAGAAAACAGTCTGACCATTCCTCAAATGGTTAAATGGAGAGTTATCATATGATCCAACAATTCTACTCCTGGGCATATACCCAAAATAAATAAAAACATACATCTATACAAAAACATGTATGCAAATAACATGTCAGCATTATTTATAACGGCCAAAAAGTAGAAACAACCAAAATGTTCATCAACTGATGAATGCATAAACAAAATGTGGGTTTTCCACACGTTGGAACATAATTACAATAAAACCAAATGAACTGCAGATTCAGGCTACAACATGGATGAAATCTGAAAAAAAATAAGTGGAAAGATAAGTTAAAGAAGCAAGTTACAGCCCTGGCTGATGTAGCTAAGTAGATTGAGCACCGGCCTATGAACCAAAGACTTGCGGTTCGATTCCCAGGCAGGGCACATGCCTGGGTTGCAGGCCAGTTCCCAGCTGAGGACCCATGAGAGGCAACCATACATTGATATTTCTCTCCTTCCTTTCCCTTCGATAGATAAATAAATAAAATCTTTAAAAATGTAAAAAAAAAAAAGCTAGTTTCAATAGACCACATTTATATTCAGGGTCCAGAATAGGCAAACCCATAGAGACAAAGTAGGTGGTTATCCAGAGATGGGAGGGGATGGGGATGGGAGTGATTGCTAATGGGCCAAGGTAGTTTCTTTCTGAGGTGATAAATGTCCAGAATTAGATAATGATAATGGCTGCACCAGTTTGTAAATATACTAAATACCACTTAACTGTGTACTTTATATTAGTGAATTATATAGTATATCTATTCTATCTTAATAAAACTACTAGCTAATAGAACTATTAACTAGTACTTAAAAAATATCAGCTAGTGGAAGGGAGGGAGGTTAGGGGTGGAGGGGTTGAGCAAAAAAGAAAAAGGACTCTTGGACATGGACAATTGTGTGGGGGGGGAGGGGTATAAGGGGACTAAAAAGTAATATAAAATATAATAAAGATCTAATAATAAACTATAAATAAATTAATTAAATTAAAAATAAAAGTTAAAAAATAAACAAATGGAAATTCTAGAACTGAATGGTAGAATTACCAAAATTAAAAAGAATGAGTTTCTAATATAGTGGACACAGTTAAAAAGATGTTAAAACTAACAAGTAGGTAACAGAAAATATGCAGACTAAAAAATAAAGAGCAAAAGAAAATATTTGTAGCAGAGCATAAAGGATCTATAATACACGGTGAGAACTTGTAATGTATGTGTAATTGAAATCTCAGGAAGAGAGATGATAGAATGAGGTAGAGGTAATATGTGACAAGATAAAGAGCAAAGATTCTTGAAAACTGACGAAAGACCACAACCTAAAGATTACTGAAGTTCAATGAACCCAAAATAGACTAATTACAAGGAAGACTATGCGCATGCATATCATTCTAAAACATTAAAAACCAAACAAACATAAAGAGAAAATATTAAAAGCATCCAAAGGATAAATATACACTTTCAAAGGGATGACTGTATGACTGACAACTGACCAATGGAAATGAGAGAAGCCTGAAGACAACTAAACAATATCTTTAAATGTATGATTAAAAAATAATAAAATTAGAATTCTATTCTCAGCAAAAATACTTTCAAATGTGAAGGAAAAATAAAGACATTCTTGGACAAACAAAAACTGGGAGAATTCATCATTAGCAGATTTACACCAATAAAACAAAAAACTAAATGCAGAAGAAAATACTTTTGGCAGAAGAAAATAATTTCCTACAAACAAATAATTCAAGAGACAGACATGGAAATACAGAAGGGAATGAAGACCAATGTAATGGGGGAATACGTGAGTAAATATAAAAGAAGATGAACCCAATAATACTTCTGGGGTTTAACACGCATAGAAATAAAACACAGGACAAATAGTACAGCAACCTTTAAAAGAATGAGACTAGTAAAATACTAGTAGAATAATAAAGAAATAAATTTAAGTTCAAATGTATTCATAATTACATAAAATATTAAGGATTCCAATAACTCCAATTAAAAGACAAGATTGTGAGACCGGATGAATATGAAACTCAACTAATGCCAAATAGAAGAACCATGTTACACATAAAAAAAAAGTATACAGAAAGTTTGAAAGTTTAAGGATGGAGAAAGGAACATAAATACTAGTAACAGAGCTGGTGAAGCAATGGTAATATCAGGCAAAGTAGACTTAAAAATAAGAAGTATTATTAGAGAGAAGGGGGCATTTCATAATAATAGAACAGCTTATTTACCACAAAGATATAATGATTATAAATTTGCATATGCCTACTAACATAGCTCCAAAATAATATGTATATAAGCAAGAAATGATGGAACTACAAGGAGAAACAAAGGAATTCACAATCATAATAAGAAAGTAATATACCTCTCAACTGAATAATTAAAAAATCAGTAAAAATATAGAAAATATGAACATGAATATGAGCTAGATTCAATCAACATGCATATAGACCACTACACCCACAACAACAAAATATAAATTCTTTTCTGGTACACACAGAACATTTACCTAAATTGACTATGTGATACTAAAGTATCTCAACTAACTGCAAAGGATTGAACTCATGAAGGGTATGAACTGATGAGCTTTCCATCTTTGTGTGGGCGGAGTCACAGATGCATGCCCCCTCCCTGTCTGCCAGTACATTCTCTGTACTAGGCTTCAGTCCTGGCTCCAGTTTAAATCACTATTTTTTTTCTTTAAACTTTAACCACTCTCTTTTTTAACCAACTTCTAATTAAATTATCTTCATTTGCATATCTTTGTAAGCCCATTTAACTCCTCTCTGCAGCAAGATACATAAGCAACATAATAAATGGAAAGAACAATTTTACATGCACACATTGAATTATTTAGCCCATGTGTATAGAATCACATTTGTAGTACATTCTAGACCCAAGACATAAATTTGCACATTTCAAAATTCAGTAACTACCCTTAGTGTACTATTTTAGGTTTCCTTAGGAGATGGCACCACGTGGCATAACTCACCTACCCCAGTAGTGTGATCTCCCTTTGGTCCTGTGTAGGAGGTGGGAGTTTCTCCCCTCCTTCTATGCCAGCTGCTCCGGTTTCTTCTCTCCTGAGTAAATGCACATTCATCTTGTTCAAAAGTACACTCTCCAGGTTGAGGTGAAAGCTTCTCTGCAAGGAAATAGCCAGTGTTGCAATTAATGAGGCACTTTCAATGAACATGTGTTCCATGGCTCTCCAACAGCCCACTCTGCATGTATGAGTGTCATCGGCCATATGCCATGCAGATGAAGAGGGAACCCCCCACCACCCAGCAGCCCTCCAGCTGCTGCCTCTAGCTGGAGCCTAGACTCCGCTGTGGGTCCTGCCAAAGGCACAGAACAATAAGAAGTCTAGACCAAAAAGTATTGGTTTACTTTGAGAAAGAAATGCTGTCTGACTTGTGATTTTTTTTCATGTGAATGCATTTACAATCTCTATAAATTGGCAGTATGCTGCCCTTATGGAAATATGGAAAATAATAAAATTCACAATGCAGGATCTATCTTCGGCAATCCAGAATGACTGAAGAGAGTCCTCAGAACAACTCCACAGTTGCTCAGGAGGAGGGAAAGAATGCGAGAGAGCTCAGTGTGCTTCTAGAGGCATAGCTCAGTTTGTGGGGAGCAGATTACTCAATTTTTCTGTGCATCCACATTCTTACCTGTGATGTAGGGATATTAATTATTCACCTCATAGGGTATGAGGATTAAATAAGATGATATATGTGAAGTTTTTAGAACATGGCATTTTCAATAAATATTAGCTAAATTAGTACTAAAATTTAGTGTTTTTCCACTTGAAACCTTATTTTTCATTTCTAAAAACAAAGTTTATGTCTTTGGACACTATCGTTGATAGCTTTAATAATTATTAGCATTAGAATGATGCCACCTCCCAACTTACTTGGGACTTTTCCTTTGGCTGAACTTGGTTGTACCTTCTACATTTGATTCTTGGCAAATTTCTGTAATAAATAGGCTGTACTTCATCTCTCTGGCATGATAATGATTTTACTTTATTTTATTTTGCTTATAGTACAAGCTAATGAAGCCTCATTCCCTTTTCTATATCATAAGTGTAGGGATTTTTATCTTGTTCTTCCTTGTTTTGTCCTTGCAGTGCCTGGCAAGTCAAGAGACTAAAAACAAATTGTCTTTTAATTAAATAAACACAGAGATTATTCTCCAGTGCTAGCATGCTACCACCATTTGCCTGTTTGTTAAAGAAATGGATACCTGTGGTTTAAGATGCATTGGTAATAAGTAGATACATACCACTGATCTGGTCTGAGGTGTCCCCCCTTTTTTCATTACACAGAAGGCCCAGCACGTAGCTACCACCTTTATTTTGTCACCATTATTCATGCCGGGTCCATTGTTCTGTTGTCATTTAATTCACTTAGAACTTCTTCATTTTATCATTATTTTAAAATTACAGGATGGGGTAAAAATAGGTTTACAGTTGTAGGTATGAGAGACAATTTATTATTATATTATTATTTATTAATTATTATATTATTTTCTATATAAACAACTGTAAATCTACTTTTGGCCCACCCTGTATATGTTTAGTACACTATCTATATAATAACAATAATAATTATTATTATAATAACAATTTGTTCACTGTTGCTTGAAAATCTGTATTTTTGTGTAAGACAATGACAATAAAAATATCAATAGTAATTATAATAAGAGGTATTTGTTTTTAAAGCCCAGTTTTGTGCCAGGTCCTATGCCAGAGAACTTCTGTGTATTACTGCCAATATTGAGGTAGGTGTTACTACTTCTCTTACAAATGAGGATACGGGGGTCAAGTCATGTGGACGAAGTCACACATTACATTTGAATCTTCATTTCTAAATCCCACAGCTCCGTAGAGAGGCACTTCTGGCAAGAAAAGCCAGGGATAGACTAGCCTAGACTACGTGTATGTTGTGTGTTCTTAGAGAAACAGGAAGTGTCTTGTATAGGCCAGGAAGACAAAGAGAGCTGAAACGATGGCTGTCTTACCTGGAGACCAGCAGCTTCCCAATTCTATTGTAATGTCATCCAGGCCTATGAGTCCACAGTCCCAGAAACTTTTGCAAAGGCTCATGAAAACCACCTGCAATTCAGAAAAACAAAACTATGAATTCTGTTGACTACAAATGGGAACCTCTTACATCCTGGGATTTACTTAGCACAACAGGTGTGAATAAACAAATGGCAGAGTCCTCTGCATTATCCATATGAACAACAGATCACACTGGCATGGGTCATGGAGAACCATTATATATAACCTTGGAACTCTTTCTACTAATTTTTACAGCAGAGTCAACCTCATAATGATATGTTGTGTACATTAATGATGAAGTGAGTTTGTGTTCTTTAAAGAACCGAGAGAGGGAAACAGGTTAACTGGGTAGCAAAGGAAGACCCATTAAGTTTTAAATATTTTCCCCAGATAATCTGTAAAGTGCATGCAGAATTGATGGTGTTCCAAGGCTTTTTGCAAACACTTCCAGTACAAACACTATTGATTTTTTGGAAACGACTTTCTGGCACTATGCTTCATTCATATTGTGAATGAAATCCCTGTGATTTGCCTTCTGGGGACTTAGATTCCCACCCTACCCCTCCAAATATTTACGCCCCTGGGATGGTATTGCTAATAAAAGCCTAAACGCAGTTATTTTATCAGAGCAAACATTTTTTACTGTTGTATGTAAAGGAAAAACAAATCTATACCATAAATGATTAAAGTCATTATGCAAGAGAGAAAAAACTCTTGGATTTGTTTTCATTAGACCAATTTAGTCTACTTTTATGTAGGAGATATAGCACTTTTTGAAACATTTAGATTTCCACTGTACTTTGTGGTTTACAAAGCTGCTTGGCATGTATAATCTAATGTTTAATTAGGACAAGGTTATTTGATCCACATTCAATTTCTCAAATCCAAGTCTTAACTCAAAGACAAAGGAAGATGTAACAGAAGCTGAAACCAATATTATAAAATAATGAGAACACCTGATTTTTTAGGTTATACCATTCAGTGGTTTTATCTTAAATTCATCCAGGTTATCAGTAGGATCCCTCAATTCTTTGATGATGCCAGCCATCAGAATATAGAAATTCTTTAAAAAGAAATTTAAAAAATCACCTGACAGTTTACCAGTATGTGAAATATAAAATGTCTTAATCCAAGATCTTCAGCATAAATACTAATTGTGAGATGTGTGAAACTTTACTTGGACTATATTTACATTGTTGTAAATGATTAAAAAGATAGTTTGGAGATATGACTATATCACTATATACATTTAAGGAAAAAATTTAACCCTGTTAATTTTCTCATCTTTGGAGATTCAAGAGAGTCTGCAAGTTCTTTGAACATGGAAAATACTTTACCTGTAGGAGAGATGACTGGGAACTTATTTGCAAAGCAAAGGTCTGTGTCATCAACCCTGAATGCAATTATATTCTATTAGGAGTTTTTAAAGTTATATATGAGAAGGAATAGAGATCTTTCTCATGATTTACTTAATTAATTATGCTGCAGAAAGTCTTGGCTTCCTGTTCTTTTGGAGGTTTTAAAGTCTATTTTTCACAAGAATAATGAAAAGTATTTTTTCCAAATGAATCTATGGTAGTGAAATGATTCATCATTTACCTGAGTAAAAGTCAAACATCTGGCATGTAAATGCATTCTAAAGAGAATAAATATTAACATGCTTTCATGTGTTTACTACAGCTTTATTTTATAATGATCACAAAACCAAACAAATGAAACAATCCAAAAACTTCAAAAATAGAGGAAATAAACTGTTACCACAATCTAAAAAATAGGTAATCATTACCTCTGACAGCTTGTAAATATTATTTAATAATACAGAAGTATGTTCCTCTTATAATGTTAAGTGAAAAAAAGCTGGTTATAATAAATAAAACAAGATAAAATAGCTAATGTATCTAAAAATACATGGAGGAAAACTTTGAAAGTTGACCAGATTTATAACAATTATGTTAGGCTCATGAAATTTGGAGTAGTAAATAGAATATCCCCTTATTTTCTAAATATTCTATAATTTTATCATATTTATAATTTAAAAAAAAGAAAAAGGAGTCAGAATATCTATAATTAAGATGTGGAACAAGTATGTGTTTCCTTGATTGGCATTGTTTATTATGATAGTCACTAAGACATGTGGCTAATTAAACTTGAAATAAAATGAAAAATGCATTTTTTCAGTCATACTAGTCACATCACATGTCAAGTGCTCAGGAGCCACATGGCACTAGTGGCCAACTGAACTGGAGCCAGCAGATACACACTCGCTCCTTATCACAGAAAGTTCCATTGGACAGAACTTCCTGGCTTCTTCTACGCATTCCAAACAATTTGTGACCTGCCACAGAGGGTTTGGTGAAATGCTAAAGATGTTCTGGACAACCATAGGCCACTAGGTTGTGCTTATCATAGAGCTCTTCGCACACATTGAGTATTAGCTATACCACGTGTTGTTCTGTCTGATGAGAGGTCCTCAGTCAGCCAGCTATGGACTAGATTCACTCTAGGGCCTCAAACCATTAATCTGTCTGGCAGTTGTCTACCAGCATTCCAACACACAAAACAAACTCAAGAGCAGCTTTTTTGGGTAAACACATTGGATTTTCCATCCTGCTATTAATAATGCCCATAATGTCAGCTCTTCTTGTGCCACCATCTTACACTGTGAGGGCTACTTGAGGTGGAAAGGTTATTTTAGGGTAGTCAGTGACACAAAGCAAGCTGCTGATGGGGCCTTGCTGACATAGGACAAAGGGGAGGCCTGACATCTCCGTCTGTTCTTAAGAACTCTGTCCCTGGGTCCAGTTAAAATACCATATGATCTCACCTTTAACAGGAACCGAAGCAACAACAACAAAAAAGCAAGCAAAGTACAACCAGAGACATTGAAATTAAGAACAATCTGACAGTAAACAGAGGGGAGGGGGAGGGGACAATGAGGGGGAAGGGTTTTCAGGAAGTACTATAAAGAACACAGACAAAACCAAGAGGGGGGCTGTGGAAGCAAGGGAAGGAGGGGGGTTTGGCTGCCGTGGGGAGGGGGTGTAATGGGGGGTAAATGCCGACAACTATAATTAAACAACAATAAAATCATTAAAAAAAGAAAAGGAAAGGAAAAAAAAAGAATGTGACTAGAATGGAATTGGTCATAGTTTAAATTCTTGCGGAATTAACCTCTTGTTTATTTATAGATCCTTTTTAAAAGAGTGTTTATCTCATTTTAGGCAGTAGTTCAAAGCAAGTGGAATATCTCCAAAGACTGGGGCAAAATTCCTAGGCAACTTGAGTGTATAATATCTATTTGAGAGGGGAGAAAAAGAGGAATAAAGTAAAATGATATCCTGTAGACAGGTGTTTCTGATTTTATGCAAATCTCAATTTGTTTCAGTGTGCCAAACTTCCGGTTTTTAGGTACTGGTGATATTTTAACATTTTTGTTTGACAGAATATTCATTGTTGAGAGAGCGTACCTGGACTAAATTTGGAAACACAAATAGTCAATGAACGGAGAGCTATAAAATCATATTTCCAAATATTTTTAAATACAGTCAAGTAAGGATCAACAATATTATTTATTTTTATTATTCTAAATATAGGCATTATACATGCTCATTTTTCTACAGCAGGGTTCTCCAATCTCAGCACTTTGGATATCTCGGTCCAGATCCCTTTTTGTTGCTGGGGATTCCCCTCCACATTGTAGAATGTAAAGCAGCAAACCCTGGTCTCTGCCCATTAGATACCAACACCACCCCCAAGTCCTAACAATCAAACATGTCTCCCAACATTGTCCAATATCCCTTGAGGGATGGGGGCAAAATCTCCTCTGGCTGAGAATCACTGGTCCAGGGTGGTAGAAAACTGCTGTGTGGATCAGGAAACTCTATTTGCTAAATTCCTATCCGGTGTTCGCCCTGAGCTGGGTCCCTTCAGATCATTCTCAATGTCAGTTTCAACCTACTTGTTCTCCCAGGTCAGAATGGGCAGCTGTTTGTTTTTAAAGTGGGCTAGACTGAGTGAGTTTTGTCTCCTGGACTTTACTGGGTGGTGGTTCGAATAAGGAATGAAATACCCTCAAGCCCTGGAAACAAAAGTCAAAGGAGTGAAAAAGCAAGGGAGCCACACTGACCCTCCAAGTGAATAATCACCCCTGAGATGACCAGGGCTTTGCTACTCTGGGTCCCTGCTTCCAAAAGTGCATGCCGTCAGGGGCGATAGCATCTCTGCTTTGTTTTCATCTTTCTCCCTTTTGGAAAAGAATTACCTACTGCTTCACAAGAACATAACCCTAAAATGTAACTGAGCAAAGTTCCCTCAGCATTTATAATTTAAACTCTTTTCTAAAGTTTTTGGGGTGTGTGGAGGAAGCAGGGGGGTGGAGAGAGGGTCTGTATAGAAACTCAGCCACAAGATTGTGTTAGTCAGAGGGGCGGGGCTGCCCCTAGGTTAGGAAACTCCATGAAAGTTCCTGGTTAAAGGACCCAGGGGAAAAAAAGTAGAGGAACAGGTATGTCAGAAACTTATTTTCCCAAACCAAGACAGATTAGATTTTTTAAAGAGTTAGGGTTACTGATTTTAACTTTATGAAGCCTCATAATTTAAGGTAAGGATACCCAATACAATAAAAATTTTTTTCTGAGGGAGGGAGGGAGGAAATAAAATTTTGCAGGGAGCTGTGAAATATATGAACACAAAACTCTAGAGCAGTTAGAAAGCATCGTCTGTATGAACTGGTTTTTCACTGTATTTTTTTTCCCACTGTCTTTTAAAGTAGTTTCCATAGCTTGCTGAACAGACATAGTTGGCCAGGTTGTTGGGTTAGTTAGTCTGCCACCTACTCTACCAACTGAACAGCCCGTAAGGCCTATAATTAGCATATGAATGATAGTTTCCAGAAATGGCCTTCTGTCTTCACATAGGAACATTTCAATTCTATGCCAACAATACCATAAATTACCCATGTTCAAAATACAAACCTAGTTAGGCCCTTATTACAAGTGGTGAACCTCAACAATCTACCAGAGGGTTGATTCCAGGTTAAATTTAACTTTTCT